ATTAGATTACAAAAGAGAGAATATTAGGGATAATTTTTAATATTTTCAATTAATTCATTTACGAAACGAGTGCTTAAAAAAAAGAACGAATCGCGACACATCAAAATTAAACTTTTTTTGCTATTTTTTTACTTATCGTTGAACCTTGGGAGCATCCTGTTCAGTAGTTGTTCGGTTTTCTTCTTTTCAAAGTCCAGTTGTTCGGTTCGTTCTCGAATGAGTTCTTCCAGGTTGTTGGAGTATTTTTCGAGCATCTGAAACATCGTATCGACAATGTTGACTTTGCGTCCATGATTGAGTTTTTTGAAGAGATCGTGAACAGCATTAAAATCGGGTCGCAGATCGGGTTGCTCGGCCCAACATTGACGCATGATGTTTATTGCTTCCGGCGGCGCTGCACCCTTACTTACCGACGGTCTTATCAGTGGCGGAGGATGCTTTACCTTTTCGATGATCTCTTAGAAAATTCACGTATACACATAGTTAGAATCAATTTGATAATTACCCAATGATTTCATTAAGAGTGTTGTAATATTTGTAAAAACAAACTACTACCTACTATAAAGTTTGTTACCTTCGGGTGTTAGAGCGAACATGCAGAACGGTTCACCCCTGACAACCACTTCCTGACAAATTATCCCGAAGGAGTAGACATCCCCGGGCTGGGTTCCTTTTTTACGTAAACCAGAATGACGCAGTAGTTCCGGGGAAGTCCATAAAAGCTCTAGAACACAGTTAGGTTCAAAAAACCTATAACATATAGATATACAACTGGCAAACTCGCAATAAATTAACTAAAACTTTTCATTTTAACACTGTATAAATAAACGTATTTTTACAGGACACCCTTTTTGGAAAGCATCAGATATATGGTAGACATCATTTGTTCATTTATTTCTTTACAAATAGTAACGAATATTGGGANAATTTATTTATATTTTTATGTTATAGAGTAGGTATTTGTATTAGTATGGAAATTAATATATTTACAAGGAGGCGATTGAATAACAATTCCAGTTATATTGTTCTATAATTTTTGAATAATTTGAAAACATAACGTGAAATCGTATATGAATTGACCAACATTATGATATTCTAGTTATAATAAACCTAAGATTCAATTCTAATACATTCAATTGAATTTAGTAAAAGGATTCACCACCAATCATTTCTTCTTTTTCGGAATCATCAAATTGAATTCTTGATTTATTTAAATCGGTTTGTTGTCTTTATTTTTTCATTCTCGCCAATTTTCTATTCAACTAACATTAGTGAAAGTATTCAAAACGGATGTATTAATAGATATTGAACATAATTCCTACAATAGTTGCATCAAAATATAAAGTTTAGAATTAAACATAAAACATTACTCAAAAATGCACCTATTCATGTTAGCTTCAAAACCAAGTATGTGGACATCGTTGTCTTCCTATTTTTGAAAGAGAATTTTTATTAGAGAATATTTTTGAAATTTAGAAAATTAATAGTTTGCGAATCATTTCTGAGAGCAATGAATAGTACACACAATCACAATATTGCAAATATCTGCTGTCTTTCCTTACCTAGATAATAATAGATAATTTCATGAACTAAATAGTTCATTCCCGAGATAAAAATGTTCAGTCTCTCAGAGTCTCTGAAACCGTGACTCGAGTCTTCGTCTCTCATCGAGTCTCTCTGGTGTCACTGAGAGACACTGTCAAAAAAAATGTTTAGTGTCTCTGAACGAGAGACTCGAGTCGCTCATAGAGAGATCCTTATTTCGTATCCAGTCTCTGAACGAGAGACTCGAATCTCTAAAGGAGAAACTCGAATCTCTAAATGAGAGATTCGAATCTCTCAATAAGTGATGTCTCGATAGACATGGTTAAAATTCAAAATATTTCATAGATTCCAGTCTTTCTACGAGAGACTCGAGTCTCTCGATTTTTCAGTTTTATTCATTCAGTCTCTCTGTAAGGGACTCGAATCTCTGAATTAACAATTTTATCGTTCGAGTCTCTCATACAGAGACTGTGAGGGATCCATAAAAACACCTAGGCAATAACTGAGAGACTGTGAGAGACTCTCTCAGAGACGCTGAAAGACTCTGAGAGACTG